TATTCTTGTCCGGGCTTTCTTATCTTATCTAAACATTATTTCCTATCTTGTTCATTTGTGGTTTTGCAGCTGAAGATGATGGTTCGGTAAAACCATCGAAACTAGTCCTGTGAAAATTTTGTAAGTTAACGCTGATTTTTGTTGTTTGAATTCTGAATTAGTATTTATTCGGCGTGTTATTGTGTCTTAACTACATAAAGGTGTTATTGTAAAATGAAATTTTAATGCACTATGTTAAAGTTACTGTTAGTATAGGGAAATCGGTATAAAATTATTCAATCCATTGCATTAGTGATTTGTAATTTGCTTATATTTATTTAAATAAAATTTTTTATTATATAGTAATCCGTGATTCCTAATTTTGTACTGTGCTGAACTATTTTAGTGTTTAGTATTGAATAGTTTTCTATTTGTATCATTTATTAGTATGAATAGCTATTGTTGCAAAATATTGAAAAAAATGCCTATTTCAGGAAAATGTAAATTTGATTATTTCAGTGCATTGATTATTTGGGAGGGTTCGCACAGGTTTTTAATTATATAACTTCTGGTATGTGTGTTGGCCTACTAGCGGCTGAGCGTCTGAATACTGGTAGTTCGGTCAGGGGTTAGAGTTCCGGTGAATTAGCTGGTTGCCTGGGCGTTTCCATCATTTTGCTCATTTGTAATTTTCATATGAGCCAATTACTCTTAGAAAGTATTCAGTGAAGGCATCTTTTCTCTTAGGCAGATAGCCCTGTTTTGCTTTGTCGTAAGTAAAGAAACTAAACCATTTGTTATGTACATTTCTTTTATAATAAAAATGGCATATAAAGAATTTCTTACTATAAAATAAATTTTATATTTTATCTCAAACCGTACTTATTTCTATGTTTATTAAAAAAATTAAAATTTGTTACAGAAACTTAAAGAAAGATGGGTGAGGGCGGCAGTTTTACGTTTTCGCCCCACCTAAGAAAAATGCTAAATCCGGTGCTGTCAATAGTTCCTGATGCATCAACAGTTCTTGTTTCCTGGTTTGGCAATAAAAAAAAATATTTACGAATTGGTTGTTGCTTAGAAAGAATGAACTGATTTCATTCATATTGAACGGTTTTTATATTCTTTTCAGGTGAACACAGAACTTATAAATTTTGCTTTGGCCACAGTCCGCTAGTTTTATCATAAATTCTGTTGCCTTAAAGAGCTACAGAAACATTTTAAGGTTTTAATAAACAATTTAATAACAATTTTGTAAGCATCACCTGAAAGAAAAGATTTTAGAAATATGAATTTGTCAACATCACTTAATGATTCATCAGACTTAAACGCACTTGAGAAACTACTACAGAATTCTTGAAATAACTAGAATCGCCATTAAAAGTGAAAAGTGGGAATGCGTAATTTAGGGATTTTATATAAGATGATGTATTATGAATATTCGAATTAGAAATGTTAACACTTTGAAATTTAAAATGTTCAGCTTCATACCCTTTTAATTTTATTTTGATTTTGAATTTAGCATCACTTAGATTCGTCATACTCGAGTGAACTATGAACTTCCATTTCGAACATTGAACTGTCATAAATTAGGTCTTTGATTTTCAAGTTTCAAGCTCATTCTGTTTTTCTTTTTTAAAAAAATTCCAAAAAATTCTCCTGAAAGCTTTTACCTTTATCAATACCAAGACTGTCAAAATAAGAGTACTTTTACTGACTTCTAATGACTTTCCTTTTGGATTTGAACTTGTCAAGAGTTTTCATTTCATACATGCAATGAAATTTTAAGTGGGTTAGAGTAGACTGAAGGGTGCCCCCCTTGTATTATCGCGAAGTTGTTTCATTTATGGTAACCCGAGTAGTTAAATGTTATGCAAACCCTGTTGTCGCAACCCCCACAGTATAGAATGGAGTGCTACCAATTTAAACTCCGGGCATCTGCGCATGCCCAGACTTTGATGACTCTAACTTCTTTTTGATTTATTGCTATGCCTTTTTTTCCATTAAAAGTCTCCTGTATTGAGTCTGAGTGTGTGTTTAAATGATTAATAAATTATGTGTGTAAACTTTTAGTAGCTTTTTGGATTTAAGAAGACAGCCTTCCCAGCGTCAACATCTATTTACGAGCAAAGAGACAAGGTAAGAAGATTTAAGATTATTCCATTTGTTCCAACTGTTTAATTAGAATTTAGATTGCTCGTGAAATCTTGGCGCCCAAACAGAGATGCTGGTTTTTTAATAAAGAGAAATAGATAATAATGGATGCATTATTAAAAGTAAGAACACCACTCAGAACAAATTTTAGAAATGTTTTTAGAAAGTCGCTAATAGGTTAGATGAAGCTCTAAAAGCTAAACCGATAAGATTTGGAAGAAACTGATGTAGCGTTTTCGCTATTAAGCGATAGGTTTACAAAATTAGAAGCTATGGATCGAGATACTTTAGATCTTTTATCAAAAGATTCAAACACGGATCAAAATATGTTTGATCAAGAATATGAAAGGATAAATTCTTATTCCGACACATAGATATCTTTGAAAACGAAAGTGGAACGCTTTCGAAATGAACCGAGTAATAACGTATCTAGTAATGATTCTTCTGTTAAAGTGGTAAACAAAAGAAGTGTTAAATTACCTAAAATCAAGTTACAAAAATATGATGGTTCAATTAAAGGGTGGCCTCGGTTTTGGAGTTTGTTTAAGAAAATTCTTGATGACCCATGTTTATCAAATGAAGACAAGTTTATATATCTCATTCAAAGCACCACAGAGAAGTCCCGAGCTCGTGACCTTGTGTAAAGTTTTCCACTTACGTCAGATAATTATCCATCGGTGATTGAATGTATGAAGTCGTTTTGGTAAAGACGAATTATTAATCAGTGCATGTTGTGCATGAATTGTTGACTTTAGTACTGAGCCATAATAAATGTAATTTAGGGAAGCTTTATGATAAGATCAAAGCATATTTAAGATCCTTAGGTGTTACCTCCGATAAATATGCAGCTATGCTCTATCCTCTTGTCGAGAGTTGTTTATCAGAGGATGTTCTGAAAATATGGGAATGGCATATCAGTTCTCTTTTAGTTAATGAAAAGGGGAAGTAAATAAATTAGCTGTTCTAACGAAATTTTTAAAATCAGAAGTGGATGGAGAGAAAAGATTTGCGATTGCTAGAAGTTCATTTGATAATGAAAGAGAACCTCTCAAAAGATCATCTAAGCGACATCTTAACGAAAATAAATGTGATATTCCGACCGCTGCTAGTCTTAAACATGAATGGTTATAACAAAAAGTGTATTTTTGTGAGAAAAAACATGATTTTCAAGATTGCAATAAAGCGAAAAAAAAAAGAGTCTGGATGAAAAAAGGGATATAGCTAAGAGGGCTGGTTGTTGCTTTTCCTGCATTAAGAGGGGACATGTTTCGAAGCAGTGCCATAGCAGAATAAAATGCTTTATATGCAGTAAATTTCATTGTTCATTATGTATTCAAATCCTTTATTTGAATCGAAAGCAGATGTTCAAAAATCGGTTGAAAATCTGAACTGTACCCAGGTCAAGGATCAGGCACTTACAAGTGAGTCTAACTCAACAGGGGTACTGTTACAAACATTGGAAGTTTATCTTAGGGGTAAAAATGATACACACATTGTAAGAGCCCTTTATGATATAGGAAGTCAACATTCTTATATTAGTGCCAAAGCAGTTAAGCTATTGACCTATGAGTGTTTAGGAGAGATACCAATAGTTCACAGTTTATTTGGTGATCTTGAATCTCCTCAAACAGAAGCATTGCCGTTTTAGAATGTATTTCACTAGTTTAGATGAGAAGTACAGTTGTAATTTTGAAGTACTAGAACAAGAAAAGATTTGCGGTAACATAATGAAAACCCCGCAAGGTCCATGGAAGACAGATCTTCACAACAGGAAGATAACTTTGACTGATAGTACCAGTAACGCCTTACAAGAAACTGATTCTGAGATTCATCTGCTTATCGGAGTGGATGTGGCTGGTAAACTTTTAAATGGGAAAGTACAAGTTTTGGCTGATGGTCCCATTGCAGTTAGTACTCATTTAGGCTGGACATTCATGGGAAAGATTCCACAGGTATCCAAAGTATCTGAATCTTATTTGTCTATCATATCTCTTCAACCACAACTTTAACCTTCCAGACATGTGAAGTTTATAGAGCATAGGTATTGCAGATCTAGTTGAAAGCCAAACTGCTGTGGAATTGCAACAAGCTGCACTTGTGCATTTTCAGTGTAGTCTAAAAGTTAATGATGAGGGAAGGTACAAAGTAACGTTACATTGGCTCAAACTGCATCCCATACTTCCTCAGGGTACAAACTTAATCAAAAGAAGACTGCGCAAAACAGCTAACATCTTAGAAGCCTATAAATCACCCAGGGCTATCCAGTTCAGACATAATAAAAAATATCAACCACATGCATTAAAAAATGTATAAAAATATAAAAGCAATTTGCAACTAATGACACTGACATGGATGGTCTACACAAATTTTATGCTTTATGAACAACCACAAATACTCATTGCTCAATGCACCAACAGGTGGCACACAAAAATTTAAGATGCAGTATACATGTTATGGGCATGTATAGAAATCTTTAAATGTAGATAAAATATTTTTAAGACACACTTTTGATAAAAAATTTGATTTAAAAGGAAGGCATTTTAAAAAAAGATCCCAGCTTTTACAATCAGAATTTTAACAAATAAACAGAATAATTTCTGTCTGACATAAAATAAGTATGTTTGAAATAACCAATGCAGGTTCATGATGTGCATCAGTTATTTCATGCACACTCTAGAAATAATGTTATTAATGCTATTAATGGCACTAATGTACATTAAATGTGCATCAGTGCCTTTCCTAACAAAAACTGGCAATCCTTAAATTTCGATAGACAGCAGTACTGCAATATACTGCAGAAGTTTCGCTCAAACGTATATAATAACTGTTGCTTATAGCTATATGTATATGCTTACATAAGTACTCACCTGATCTCTAGCTAGCACAAACCAAGTTCGTAAAATAATGTTTAGTCTACTCTGATGGAAAACTTTGGTTGTTTTGACACTTAAAAATAGATCGTTCAAAGTTGTGCTGTGACTGTTACTCGAAGCGCCCTTAACAAGAGATGTAGCGAAAATGTTTATTTTTGGTGTTATGTTTCGATCTTCAACGCTCCGATCTTCAATTGATCGTGGCGCTCTTTCTTGAAAATTTTCACGTGTTTTTTGAACAGCCCCATCAACGCCGCCATCTTGGGTTTCTGACCACTGAGACACCTGATTTCTTGGAACATCGACCTGCCACAGGATAATCAACAAAGTATAGCAAACTATAAAAAATGCAACAATTATCCACCTGACGAAATTTCGAACATAACACCTCATCGTCACCGTACCGGAGACTCGCGGATATCATGATAAAATCTTTCTAAAAATGTAAAAAACACCATTCAAAGCGGTACCGCGCATCGCACCTCGCGTACCACCACAACGAAACACAACAAATTTCTTCTCCGCTCACAGACTTTGACAATCAAAACATCATAACTGAAGGTTCGTTTGGAGGTTGCCACACAATAATAACGCCAAATCGCCAATTTGGCGGAATACTAGAAGCAAAATTCATTTTCAGATTTCCATCAAAATTTTTTTTGATATATGTATTGGTTTTTTCCAAGAAGTATTTTCGGGCTGCATGGATTCAGCACTGTTTAGGTTCTGAAATTAAAAAATAATATACGCCCAAAGGGAACCTTTTGTGTGTTACCTTTATTTATTAAATGTTCTTTGCACTTAAACCATAAAATTCAATTCAACATCAATGTCGCAAAATAATTTTAAAATGAGCATATCTTTAGAATTTCCGATACAGAGTCTCACGAGGTGGAGATTTTTTTTTTTTTTTTTTTCCGTACTGTTTTGCCATTGTTCGCTTTGGAATCGTTGAGCTTGCTAATCAAAAATTCGTTGAAGTGTTACAAAGTATGAAATCGATAATAAAACAAATTCCAAATTAGGGCTTCCAGATGCCCATATTCGGTGGAAGATTACGTTATTCAAAACTGGACGGCTCTAGGTACCATCGTTTTATCACAATGCGAGAAACATACATACTACATTTATGCAGATTCTTCATTATTTCTTTAAATGTAACAGAGGGCGATAATATTTGGTGTCAACACTTTGAAAAGTGAATCGACATTTAAAGTTTTCAACGAAAAAGCCAAAATGAAATTAATAGCCCTTCTGAGCTAACGCCCTTTGGGCTATTAATAATGATAATAAAATTTTAATTAAATTAAAGGAAAAAGAAATAGAATTAAAAGTAAGCAAACTTTGAAATATTAAACTAATAATGAATATAGTGCGGAAAAAATACTGAACAAAAAATTAGACGAAAAATATACTATCTGTCTCCTGTAATAGGAATTCTCAAAGTGGGTGCTTCTAGGCGGTCAAAAACATACTTTTGGTAGTCGAAAATCACTCAAGAATCATTTGGGTGTTTAAGGGCAATTGAGAACGAATTAACTCTACACTATTCTCTGAGTTGGTTAAAAATCATCTATCGATTACAACTACCGTCTGCTCTTTCATTATGAGGCGTACAGCTTAGGAATCTAGGCTCTGGGGAGTAATAATCATCAGGGCTGGCACTAGGGCTCTTGGGGCCGGCCTGCAAATTGAAAATTGGCAAAGAAGTTTTTAAGTTTTGATTTCTTTGAGTATTTAAAGAGATATTTTTTGAGGAGGAAAAAATTGTGTTTGAAAAATAATTTTGTTAATTTGAGAAACTTTTTTTATTAATTTTAAAAGTATAAATGTAGCACATTTATAGATTTTAGTTGCTAATCATGCAATATTTAAAGTCCTATTTCTGCGACACTCGAATGTTCTAGTTAATTTTTAATTATTAATTTTGGTTTTAGAAATTGTTATTCACTGGCTGAAACAAGTAAAATCAAAATTATATTTTAAAAAAGGTGAAATTAAATAAACTGTTCCACGTTCAGATAGAGTTAGAAGAAGAATTCTTAAATGGAGTTGAATTGGGTATATACTGCAAAAGAATTACCTAAACCTTTGTTGAAGCAAAATATGATCTTCCGATATTACACGCTTCATTTATTCGTATCCCGCCTATGGGCTGCCTGCATGGTTGGTTTTCGTGGTATTTCTCATTTGTACGTGGATACGAGCCAGTTTCCCTTAAAAAGTCTTCCACGATGGCATATCTTCCCATAAAGCAGGTAGTCTTCGAAATGCTTTGGCTTAATCAATTAACATCAGGCAAATGGCAGCATGATTCTCTTGTATGAGTAACTTGCATGCGAACCACTTTCCTTTAAACAATCCTTCACGAAGGGTTTCCTCCTCTTAGATAGATAGCCCTAAGTGTGCTTTGCCGTATTTAGATAACATAACTTAATTATCTTGATAAATTAGGTAAATAAATAGGAACACTTATTTCTGACAATATATTTATATTAAGTATTACTGTAATGCATTGTTCAAAAGTTTTATACCATAAATCTCCCAGGAAATTATTGTTCATCAGTTGGGAAGCATATTTTAAATTCGTTCATGTATTCTAACAACATTCGCTCAAAATTTTCTTGCGAAATAGAACACTGTTTTGTAGGAATAGAGCTGCTTAAATCAGTAAATAGTTTCACAATACATTATTTTGGTCATAATGAACGAAATAAAAAGTACAAAAATTAGTGAGTAGTTATGCATGCGTCAGTTGAGAAGGAAAGGATCCGAATTTTGAACTCAAAGTTTGTCTTAAAAATATAAAAGGTGAATCTTAATAAGAGAGCAAAACTTTAGGGGGTGATACAAGGCAGCTATACGAACAATATTCATCGCAAAATGTATGATCGGAAAGCAAGGGTGAGAAGTTACAGGGTAGTTTTCCACTGTCATATTTAAAGAATTAACACAAAAATGAGAAGAGATACTTCAGAAAACATTTTATTAATAGAACGTACTCATAGGAATTGGTCAAAAGACCAGCTGTAATACAGGCTTCACACCTGCGAGATAGGGATTGACTCACATTTGCAAAGACACCATGCCATTTCCCGAATATCGCCGGCAACAACGGAGACTAGATCCATATCGGTTTCAATGGGGCACTCGGTAGATTAGGCTTTTCATATGGCCCCACAGGAAAAAGTCCAAACACGAGAGATCCGGTGATCTTGGCGGCCAAGCTATGGAACCACCTCGACCAATCCATTACCATGGAAATTTTGTGGTTCGTATAACCAACAGTCCTCTCCGCAATCCACTTTCCTTTAAACAAAATAGTAGGGTAGTAAATGCCGTTGGGTAAGAGGACTAACCCTTTTTCTATTCAATGCGACCTAGCGACTCTCTGTTTGAGTTCCGACGAATATTGCTCGTATAGTTGCCTTCTATCACATCCTCAAGATCTGCCCTCTTGTTCAAATTCACCCTGTATATTAATTTGGATAACTAAAAATAATAACGATAAAAGAAGCTACTGAAATGCTGTGAATAGGTAGATTAAAATCATAAACGGTAACGCAGCGCTATTTTATGATTTCACAAAATTTCAGAACGTTTGTTTCCTAAGCCAGAAGATATTCTATCCTCGGAACTAAAACGTATAATATTAAACGTACAGATATAAGCGGGATCTTAATTCACCTGTATCTGTTCATTTGACGTGTTTCACTCCTGACTTTCAGGCAGTGCCGAAGGGCCAGGGTTCGAATCCCGGAGAAGGCATGGATGTTTGTAAATGTATAGTGTCCGTGTGGCATGGGGCACACTAAATATGGAGCGAGCAGAAAGTCCTCTCGAGATGTTGGAGGTTGGAGTGCCCTCCATCAAAAGGGGGGGACGGAACTGAGCTAAATCGCACTGTCACCTGTAAGGTGCTCAAGGCTTTTGCCAACAACAGACGTAAACTTGCGCTACTTGCCACGAGGAATTTCGTGGGGTTGGGCTGACTGTACGTCAGACAAGTGAGCATTAGCAATAACAACAAGAGCCACTTTTACAAGAGTTTTGGAAACACAACTAAATATTACGTTTGTTAATATGAACTAAACCAGGCAGAAAAATCGCAAATTAATATTCTGATCGTTTAGAAATACGTAGCATTAAAAACATTAGCGGTTAAAACATTGCAAGCAGTTAAAATATATAAAATAATCATACTTCGCAATACAGTGTTGTTTTGTGATTTAACAAAATTTCAAAATACTGCCAGATTTTTATCGGTAAATTTACTTTTTGTAATTTGAATTATTAATTATATTAATAATTTAAAATATAATTATATAACAAATATAATACTTCCAGATACCCATATTCGAGTTAGCCACGTTATTCAAAATTGGATGGCTCTAGGTACCGTTGTTTTATCACAATGCGAGAAATATACATACATATATGCAGATTCTTCATTATTTAATTTCTTTAAACATAACACAGGGCGATAATATTGGGTGGCAACAATTTGAAAAGTGAAACGCCACAAAATGCCAAATCGAAGTTAATAGCCCTTCTGGGCTAATAAAGCAAGCTTATTTCTTCAAAAGTTACTTTACTGCTAACTCAACCTCAATCTAAACGCTCTGCGTAGACCAGGAAGGAGATGTTAATTAATACTTGAGGAGAAAGGAATATATTTTTATTTGATAAAGCAAAGCACGCTTTGCTTTATCAAATAAAAATAGCTCAACCTAGGGGTGGAGACGCCTTCCTGGATGACAGTTTAAGGGACAGCGGCTCCCATTCAGGTAACTAAGTATGGAAAAACCACGAAAACTGGTTGATGCATCCATCTGCTTCGAACCCAGTCGACTTACTACGATTTGAGAAATGTCCACAGGTCGTTGAAAGAGTTTGAAATTACCAGGGCTGTGGAGTCGGAATCGGAGTCGGGCAGATTTGGGGATAAAAGGAGTCGGAGCTAGAGTCGCTAAAAACAGGTCGACTCCGACTCCAGTTTTCGTTGGACAGTTTGAATTTGAAATGAAATTAAAAGGAATTGAAAAATTAATGACAAGCTGAGTTATTATTTTTATTTATGAACTATATACATTAATAAATAGTTATTTTCTTTTTTATTGACGTATTAATAAATAAATATAAGGAAGGAGGATGGATGTGATATTTGCCATTAGTGATTAAACTGATTTATTTAGTTACTAATCTCACTGGTAAATTTAGGTAAACAGCAATAGCAGCAAGAACTCCCAAAATGGATGCCATTCTTAGGAAGCGAGCAGGAAAAGGAGCAATTATTGATCTAGCAAGGCGATAAGGAAGTGCATATTTGATGATAAAGAGGTTGTTAGAATTCAGAACTTTTTAAGAAAGATGTAAATAACCCTAATGTTTCACTAACAGAAAGACTGTGGAATGATCTTGCAGAATTGGAAACTCTTCTTTCTACACCGTATATAGACACACAAAAGCTTGAGTCTCAAAAGTTGACAGAAGGGAGAATGGAAGAATGGGATGTTTGTTT